CCCCCCCATTAGCACACAGTTTCTTACTACTTGAATTGATGCATGCCAAAGTTCTTGTTTTACATAAATAAATATAAGATATAAAACGATATTTATTTACATAAAGCAAAATGACCATTATAGCTTAGAATACGATGGACATGATCTATGTCTGTACAAATTATCTGTCACAGTACCGGTAGTATAAAGGTTACTCCCACTGACTCTTTAAGGTTATGTTTTTCACACGAAAATACCTTAACCATGAAGTAATTTTGAAAAACAAGACTTTTAATTTATACTTAGTCGTCAAAAATCAATTCAGGAACGATAAATGAAAGCGAAGGGAAGTGGAATACCGAAACCAGTTGGCCTGCAGACTGAAGAGTATGTTTAAAGGGAAGTAGTCCTCTAAAATACGGGGATGAGAAAGTTTCGGTTAATTCCCTTTCAAACAGCTACGGTGAAATTTTTAGCGTTATATCCGCTTAAAAAAAAAAAAGAAATACATGTATAGCATTAACCTTAATGCTGTCAGTCTGTTTTTTTTTCTTTCTGGTTGAGATGCTACAAAGATTGTACATTGTACTGTATTTAAATCTACTTAATATGTACCACTGGTGTTGTCATTCAAAGGGAAGATTGCTTCTTTGAACAGTGTTAAAGATGGAGTTTTTTTAACCATCTAACAAATCACTAGATCTATCACCAGTTGTGAATCAAAGCCTGGACATGATATATCTTGCGCGAAGCATTTTCCGTTTCCAGTTTTGTTTTCCGGGTGCTTTTATCGAATTATTATAAATTTATTGAAATAGTTTCCTAGTGGAGAGGAGGGGACAACAGACATTCATTGTCCGAGCAAATAAGGTAGTTTTACATCAAATACATGTAGGCTAATGTATACGCATTGAACATTGAACTATGATGTAATACATCATTACTGAATCATTAAAAGCTCCAGACAAGTTAGTAGTTACCATTTCGATAGCATTTTCGATTAACGTGCAAATGCGATTTGGAAACTGTGCAAGCAACGACCTACGGGAACCGGGTATGTAAACTTAATATGTCATAGACGGACGGACAGACAGACAGACAGACAGACAGACAGACAGACAGACAGACAGACACTGAGACAGACAGATAGACAGACAGACAGACAGACAGACAGACAGATGGACAGACAGACGGAAGGACGGAACGGACGCACGGATGCACGGACAGACTGACTGACAGACAGACAGACAGACAGAGAGAGAGAGAGAGAGAGAGAGAGAGAGAGAGAGAGAGAGAGAGAGTGAGGACCGAGGGAGTTTTTGCAAAAAAAACTTGCACGAGACAGCACCACGAGAAGGAATGAAAGCGTTTAACTCACAGTCAGAGCACAGGTGTCCTCTTCCTCCTTGTCCTCCTCCTCCTTGTCCTCTTCTCGGTTCACCATGGTGGGTCCTGGTAGTCCAGTCTGTAACTGATACCAGAAAATAACACAGGTACTGATAATTTAGTTTCAGCAATGTCTAAAATATGGCTGGCAAACAATTTATGATAAATTACAGACGCATCTCGTGACGTAAATTTATTGCCAGCAACTTTGACACAAGTCACAAGACGAGAGAAAGTCGAACAGCGACAATTCCCGTTTTGTGCCCAAGGTACGCAAAGTTTCAGAGTTGAAGTCAAAAACGCTGGGCATGATTCTCGAGTTCAGAAGCCCGAATATGAATGCAGCTTCCCCAGGCCTATTTTTAGGAAGTCGAACTGACACGGTCTGTTTCCCACAGGTCTACTCTTACGTGCTCATGTCTTGTCTCTTAGTCATGAGGCATCGAGTGCCTGCTACGACAGTGAAATCAAGTGTCTCTGTTTCGCTCTCAGACTTATCAAGAGGCATGTGATGCACTTATGACTGATGACGACGATGGTAAAACGTGAAACATCTCTTAAGATTACACGACGATCAAAAAAGGTATTTTGACGCAATATTGCGTAATAATTGTCCTGGGCATTTCAGTGAAGAACAGGGGAGGATTTTCTGGACCTACTGCTGCTGCTGCTGCTCCTGTTTCTGGACCTACTGCTGCTGCTGA